TATTTTTATCATTATTATTATTATTATTATTATTATTATTATTATTATTATTATTATTATTATTATTTTATTATTTTATTATTATATTATTATTTTATTATTATTATTATTTTATTATATTACATTATATCATATACATATTTATGTATGTACATTAAGCTTATATATTATCTTATGATTTTTATTGCCATAATATTTATCTGTATCATGAGCTATCGCTTCTACTACTCGATATCAAAGTACTTTAAATATACGTTTCCTAAATAAATTATATTGTGTTCTGTCTAACTCAACGTTTTCCGCATCATTATTTTATGTCTTATTTTCTGTATCATTTGAACACACGTGGACCAATATGACTATGTATGTATATATATATATATATATATTATATATTTATATATGTATATACATATACATACATACATACACACACACACCCACACATACATGCATACATACATACATACATACATCTAATAGCTAAAGCGTTCAGCTACCCCTCTGAACCCTATCTTATCGGACGGAGACACCTCCTCCCAAACCTAGCCTCCGCAGGCACTTGGAGGCACTTTACACATATACCTATAGCCCCCCCCCCCTCTAACCCCCCTAACCAAAACTTCTGGATCCGCCCCTGTTATGCATTCATTACAAGGCTTAGACCAAGTTAATTAATGCAGGAATGTTCTTTTTGTTACAATAAATAGTAAATACTCGAGCGCCAAGGTTGTGCGAAGTGTCTAGCCTACTGTTGCTCCTTAGAATATAAACTAATTGGTATCGTATCGAAATCGAGTCGAGTCTTAGAGATTAAATAAAAAATCGTTTGAGGCATAGGCCTAATATTTATTATTATTAGTCCGGCCTAGGCTGATCCTACTTTACTTACCGATAAACAATACGGTGATTAAAGATAAAGTAAAAACTTTAGAATTTGCCATTTTAATGATACCGAGTAAAGTTGAAGGCAAGGTTAGTTGCAAAAACTACAGGTAAGGAATTGAGTTTTGAAATGATGACACTTTGGGATTACGCAGTGGTTATTGCGTTAAAAAGAATAATATGCTCCAATCGAAAGCATTAGGTTTGAATAATTATTATTCGTTGCGCGGGCGTACGTTGCGCTTATCGCGCTACCGTCACGCATCGATACAGTTTCGATGGTAGCTCATACCAACCTCATACGCACACAAAACAAATAACACACTCGCTCTCCTTCTACCTTGGAAGTGTATAATTATTATTCTGCCTACCTCTAAACCATAATAATAATAATAATAAAGAAGAAGAAAAAGAGATACTAGAAATATTAAATAGAATATTTTGCCGTTTGGCATTGACAAAAATCTAAGATTAGACCTAACGAAAAACACTATTGCTAATACTATGGTACACTCTCAGTCAATATACCGTAAAACCTCGAATTGAAGCCCTGCGATTTTTTTTTTCCTGCGAACTTAGGATCGGCTTCTTTTCAGGATGGGCTTCTTTTCAAATTGAATTCTGTAAATGTTGTGAATCTGTACTATGAAACAATAAATAAGACCACTGTAACATCAATCTGTATCATGGAGTGTATTTAACTGGCATTAAATCACCAAAACTACTGTATAAACCAAGCTTTTTTTAATTTTTTGTTTTTTTTAAGTTTATGTACAGTATGTATTGTACTATCTCGAAAAGAAGCCTATGCATGGGATTCTCGTACGCTAATGTGCCCTCATACTCGTACGGCACTGATATTTGTCCTACTAGGCTACGCGAATTCGCCAAAAATGTGACAATTTTTTCATTACACGCATGGGCAGTTCAATAATTACCTACCTAGTTCTTTGCTGTGATTGCTTATGACTATGAGCAAAAAATCATGATTTGCAATATTGGGCGGACAGCATAACACTTTTTTGCCAGTCGATAATTAAAACTAACACTGAGGAGGAAATGTGCAATGAACACGAAAAACGTTATCACGCTCTTATTATTATTCTTAAACTTCGACGAAAAACTTGGTTAATGAGATAAATGCACTTAATGAGATACATTTTTGAATATTTCAAAACTTGGGGAAAATGAGGAAAAAGGGGTCCTTTTTCCGTACAGTACAAAACATAGCATATTGCGAAAATGCATAGTCGAAGCAACAGCCTAATGTGAATTTATGGGTTTTGTTGTTAAGGTTATCATGATTTTAAAAATACATCAAATAACAATTATATAAATTGACCTAATGAAATGTCATACAGTTACATTATAACCTCTACACAAGATACAATAATGGCCTCATAAATACTATGTAACGATATAACTCATATAGCCTAGGATATATGTTCTAATGTAATTCAAGCTAAGCAATCAATATGGAAGCTTCTACAGTATAACACATGGTCAAACTAATTTTACTGTAGAACATAAATTATTATTATCAACCCTATTAATCATACAGAATTGATATATAAACTTACATTCATAATATCATCATACATTGACGATCTTGAAACGGTATTTAACGGAAATTTGTTACTTCATTCCGGACAGCTCAAAAACACGTCTTCATTGGCGTCTTTACGGCTTAGCTGTGTTTAAACTTAGTGGCACATCACAAAAATAGTGGTGGCGCTATGCAATCATTAATTATTACATAAGATTCCTATCAAATCTACACTCCCCCACAATGAGGATATCTCATTAATACAATATTAAACAAATTGATCTACAGCAATCTAATTTACCTAAACCTGATAAAGCAAATATGATATATATATATATATATATATATATATATATACTGTA